CAAAAAAATAGGTTAAAATTGAAAATTTGGACTGATTATTTTTAACATATTAAAAATCAAATCAGTAATAATTTGAAAACAAATTTTTTTTTCTTTTAATTATTATTTTATATATATAATTAGTAATAATATAAAAAATTAGAAGTGATAGAAATAGTCTACTTGCAGATTTGAAAACAACGCGAAAATTTGATTTAGAAAAGTATATTTTTGCTTCTGATGAAAGTTCCTTGAAGTCCAGTGCATTTATTTATAGTAACAAACAGTTTTTATTGAAAATTATTGTATCAAGCCCTTTAAATTTTTATACACGTAAAAGTAAAGCAAAATATAACTTCTTTATTATTTTTATAATTTCTCCGTATAAATTACAATATTAAATTACTGAATATCAATTTCATACTAAATTTAAAAACTATAATTAGTATTTATTCATATATTATATTTTAAAATCAAAAAGCTACTAATCAGGATATAATTAAAGAAATAAGAGTTGATGTTGCTTTTAGAATAATCCACTAATTTCCTTAAAGGAAACACTATGTACAGATTTGCATCGAAGCGTTTCTTATGATAGTGATTTTAATCACTGTCAGATATTATTTAAACTTGTCCCATCTATGCCTCGTCCACACTGTGCCTCGACCCCACTGTGCTACCGTTTTTTTTTAAATAATAGTGATACGTTAGGTCTATAGCTATATCTCTATAATTAATTTTTTTACATTTTATTAAAAATATTAATTATTTTTAAATTTTAAATAAAATGTAAAAAAAAATCTAAGATAGCTATTTTGTAGAGTAGAATTTAAGAAAAATTTTAGTAAAAAAATATTTTATTAATATTGAGTAGTAAATATTCTGTAGCTTTTTGAAGTTTGTGAAAATTTGAATTTTCATGTATTATTTTACGGTATTAAACATTGAAATACGTATTGAGAAAAGGACAGAAGAAAACGCTATCTTTTCATGATTACTGTGTATACATATGATGATAATGTGTATACATTACAAACTTGGCATTAATACTATGATAAGAAATTAGATAAGGCAATTATTACTTATCTCTCTCATTCAAAAGTATAAGTCATTTTCATGGAAAAAGTTACACACCTCCAAATTATAGTAATTAACCATATAGTAAATAGAACCATTAAAGCGGTATTTGGTTTGAATTATTTTATTATTTCATTATTTATAATTTTTCTATTAAAAGTACGAGCTCTTTAAATTCAATCTTTACTTATCGAATAATCATTAATATTTCTATTACACTAAGTTAAAGCAGACATCGTATATTCTAGCGTACGTTCTAATCTAAAAAAAAAAGGTAGTAGTTTTAAACATTAGTGGAAAAAATGTTTTCCTCTTAAAATACACACAAATAATAATCAAATTAAAAAAAAATATGAAAAAAAAAATTTTTTTGGTTTACTTAAGTGTTCGTTGAACTTAACCATATTTTTGAGCTTTTTATAGACTTTACGCAATCAATTTTGAACTTACAATTTTTTTTTCTAATTATTATTATTTGGCATTAAAAAACGAACAATTTAGATGTACTAAGTAAGAAATTAGAATAATGACATTTTATGTTTTTTTGAGTATTTTTGGTCAATTTTCTTAAAACGCATTGAGCGACCTGTAAACATTTTTTTTTTAATCTCAAATTTTCATAAAATGTTTATTTTAATGTATATAATACATTTATGAGGTATCTCATAAACATTTCGAAGATCGATTTTTTTTGAGCCACCCTAATATATATCTATATATATATATATATATATATACTATTATTTACTTTAAAACAAATTAGAAAAACCTTGAAACATATTCAAAGACCACGTAATAAAATTGTTTAATAAATATAGATATAAATTTATATCTAAATAATTATGAGTCAGTTAATATTATTTGTAGAAACTTTTCTATTAAAAATACAAAAAAAGATAATTAATTTCTATTAATAGAAAGATATCAGAAAATTAATGAATATATTTCAAAATAGTTATCTAAAAATATTAATACTTTATTGGTGTGCTAATGAAGTTGTTTCACTGTTTGTAGACTATCCAAAAATTATAGATGAACATTGAAAATAAAATATTGAGCAATTCATTTTGATTATAAAGGTACTCAAGGATAAAAGCATGAAAGAACTAAATACTAAATTATGTAAACATTACATTACAATTATTTAATTCATAAAATGTGATTTTTTATGATTTATTGGTCCATCAATCCAATGAAAATGAAAAGAATTTCAAGAATGACTGTGAACGTTGTTAGTTAGGTCTGAAAAAATCCGTATAAAAATATTCCTTAAACGTAATAAATTATAATAATATATTTACTCTTTGTTTAGAATAATTATAGAACAAGTGTTCCACTTTTTTCATATTTTTTTTAAATTTCATTTAAAATTTATCAGTAGTGAATAATACGTTAAAATGATGATATTTAGACTATACATAACTCTTTTTCTTTACACAAAATGTGCAATTTCCTTAGACCCTTTAGAGTTGCATTGCAATTTTTCTAAACATTTGTTTAAATATTTCAAGTACGGTGAAAAATATTTATTTAACTTCGAAAATAACATTTCTGAACTTGAATTGAGAAATTATGGAACAGCAGTAAAATCTCATGGTGAAATTGTTATGATCATGTTAGATTCATTACGAGAAATGGACGAGAAGTATATCGCAGCGGATATAATGTCAGTTAATTTATATTTGAACAACGTTTCGGGATCTATAAATATGATTGGTAAAGACGAAAATGGCAAATTAAATAAATCTAAAAACTCACAAAATTTACTGAAAGGCTACAAAATTCTACAACGTTCAATAGTAGAAAGATTGGAATATTTTATAAATGAAATGTGTTTAAAAGTATCAGTTCAAAATGATTTCATTTCCCTAACTAATTTTAATGAACCAGTAAAATACAGCTCGACAGTTTTGCTTAATGAACTTGAGAAACTTAATAGTAAAATAATTAGAAATATGAAAGAATATTTGACTCTAAGAGATATATTTGTGATGGAAGATAATAAAACATTTAAAAATTATTGTGACATAGTAAAACATTTAGCGTTAGCTTTTGAAAGAAAGTCATACAATAATTTCAATCCTAAAAATGTTTTGTTTTATGATTTTATGGAAAATCGTCCCCCTTTTTTGGATTTAGATCTGATATCAGATTGCCAAGCAAAACAATATGTTCGATATAACAGTGACGATCAAGTAAATGATGTTTTAGACATTGTTCGAAATGCCCCGTTAAAACTAAAGAATAATAATAATCATCAAATAAAATTGTCCGATATGTTTCGTTTCATCAAGTTTGACTTTGACTTTCAAAATATACAAGTATTCAAAAATATGTTAAACTTAGCAACAGTTCGCCCAATTATGTTGATTATACGATTTTATTTTTTTTTAGTTCAAAATTTTGTTTCAATTTGTAAATTTCGAGTTAGCGAATCAATAACTCTTCTGAAAGATAAAATCATTGAACTGGGTCAACAAATTATTAAAATTATGAAATCATTTATGGATTTAAACATGTATGATAAATTTTTAAAAAGAAGCTTGAGCCGTATCTTTATTAAGACATATGAAGTTATATCATCATTTAAAGAACGTAATGATTTGGTTACAAATAGTGAAACGCAAAGTATATTAAAAATTTACTGTACATACTTGAAAAGATTTTTTTTGAATAATAACTACAGTGAAAATATACATGTCACAGTGTTGAATATTAGTAGTATATATAATATAGCTACTGAGGAATTAAATACAGTTACATTATACGTATCAAAATTAAAAAGATATCAATATTGTTTTGAAATAGCAAATAAATTTATTTTTAATTCATTTTTAGATTGGCGAGGAACTAACAAAACTATAAAACGAAATATTCCTTACAGTAAGTAATTGTAATTTTATAAAATGTAATCGTTTTGATTTTGACTACACTTCATTGCTATTTTGATATCCATGATTATCATAATAATAACTATTATGATATTTATACATCAAATAATTATTTAATTATAAAAATAATGATATTTTTTTATATCCATAAAAATGTAGTTGGACATTAGATACAATTTTTGAGTGATTATTTTTAATGATTTTTTTTTGCTTATAATATTCAAAAAATTATAAATTATGCATTGAAAATTTTTAATAGTAAAATTTGATGTGAAAATAGGATTTTGATATGTTTTATGCAATCTTTACTTAACTAGGTTGATACCTAGTTAAACTAAGTTTAATTGTCTGAAAAAAATTACAATTTTTGTTCACTTTTATAACGAATTCATAGCACAAAGACTGCAAATTAATAAAATATTACTTATTGGAAAATTTCATTTAACAATTAAATAAAAAGATAGCAAATTATTTTTCATACATTAGCTTTGAAACGAAATTAAGAAGGCATTACTTTTACTATGATACGTTTTTTTTTTGCTGTCGCCACTTTTCTTAGCTAACACCGGACTCTTTGAATGATACGTCAAAAGATCATAAATCGTATCTTGTTGAAAATATTGCCCTTAAAAATTGAAATAATTTCCCTTGTTCATTGTAAATAAGGGGAAATACTCCCAAAAAATTACAATTTTTAAAATCGTTACATTTAGACAATCTTTAAACTTCGATTTCTTAAAACTGCCAGAACATTTTGAAAAATGAAATTATCAAAAATTTTTTTTTTATATTATACCTTCGATATTTTATATTAATTTCATATAAACTTTTTGATAATCTGACCCATTACCCACCCACAGGGGGGATTCGAAATAGCAACTTTTACACAAAAATTAGCTTATTTGAACAAGTTACGAACATTCTCCGAGCTTCAAAGATATGTAAAATTAATGTTAAATAAAAAAAAAATTGTCCCGACACTTTTTTTCTACGGGGTAACAGCCAACAAATATAGCAAAAAATGTAATTTTTATGTAAAAATCACTGTATAAAGTGTTAATATTTTGATACTTAAAAGTACTTTTGAAAATGTTCCGGAAATACTGCGTCCTTTAAACATATGTTAAATTATACTTTATGTTACGTACTATAAATTAAAAATAAAAATTATCCAGACTTCTGTATAGAATTTTTAAGATACGTCCAGTATCTTTTATGTGCAAATGTCTGTCGAAGCTAAAAAACATGCTATTTTTCTAATCATATTTTACTTTTTGTATATCATAAAACAGCTTACATAGGATTGCCATAGCAATGAGATCACTAATTTTTATCAAATTTACATGAATCTGACACGACTTACGTCGTAAAAATGTGGTCGACACTGGTTTTGAGGGTAGAGACCCGTGGGCCGTTTANCGTCGCAAAAATGTGGTCGACACTGGTTTTGAGGGTAGAGACCCGTGGGCCGTTTATTAAATGAGCGACAACAGATTATGTTAACAAAAATAAAACAAACCGAAAAGATAAACACAGTAATAATAATCTTCGCATAATATCGCGGCACTTTCGCTGGCGTCGAAGACGCGGTGTCCGATGTAATCCTTGGACGGCAAAATGGTTAGCAGCGTTGTAGGCGACAGTGCGCGGGTGCGGNCAAAATGGGTAGCAGCGTTGTAGGCGACGGTGCGCGGGTGCGGTTCGGCTGTCGACGTTGTCGCTTTCACAACGGGAGGAAGACTCTCGCACCATTTGCGGCGGGTCGTCGTCGGCCGTGCGGCATTTGCTGGACTTTGCACCGTAGCGTATAACACGCGGTGTTGGTCAGTCAAATATTCATAGTAGGGCGACGGCTGATAAAGGTGGCACGAGTCGCGGGGCATCGTGTATAACGAAGCGACGCGGGCCGTGTCAAATCTAATTTACATTTAATATAAATTTAAACTTATTTTGATCATTTTGCTTCCTCGAAGTTAATAAAATCGATTTTGAATTTTTAACTAGCTTAGATTGTCATTTATGAAATATTTGTGTAACATACAATTGCTGTTTCAATAATTATACACGATTACACGCTTGGGGTACGAAGTTCGAATCCCTCCGGACGTAAAGACTTTTTTTGCTTTTTATTCCTAATTTTAGCTTCGATGCGAACCAATTAGATACTATAACTTATAAATGAAATATTAATAAATATATTATAGATGATGTTTACTGTCATAAACCGACTTTGCCTACTCGTAAACACAAACACACACACAAGAATTAAATGTACATTTGGCAACAAAGCACATTTGTTGGCTCTTCCCGAGTACTGGTAAGAATACTATAAGTCAGCTTAACCCCTCAATTTAGGGAGCCAATAAAGGGATAGTTTATCTAACTAGATTTGAATCAAAGAAGACAAAAAACAGATAGGGTTTAGGCCCCCTGATAATCTTACTGTGACAGTGATAATATAGCTATTTTCAAAAATTGAAATAATGTTTCGTTTAATATTGAAATGAAAACCATTTTAGCTTCGATGCGAAGCTGAGAAGGTATTGGTTTTACTATGATGTGTTTATTTATTTATTTATTTGTGTCTGTAACCACTTTTTCTCAGCTTTCACCAAACGAATTTCTTTCAACGATACGTCAAAAGATCACAAATCGTATCCAGTCTAAGACATAACCCTTAAAAATTTTAAATAATTCCCTCGTTCCCCATAAATGGGGAAAACCTCAAAAAAAAAATACAAATTTAAAAATTGTTAATTTTCGAATTTTTTCAATTTGTTTTACTTAAAACTGCCATAACTTTTTTAAAAATGACCAAATCAATATCATTTTTATTTGATAGATGCTTGATGTCTATACTTATTATTTGGTATCTTTTTTTTATAAATCTGACTCTTTACCTGCCCACAAGAGGGGATTTAAAATAACAACTTTTTTACAAAAAATTTACTTTTTCAACTTAACTTTTGAAAGTGTTCCTGAAAGTTTAACACTTTTATATATATCATAAATTAAAGCTAATGTAATGTACTTTTTTATGGGAAAAAAAAATTTTCGGACTTTATTTTGTGTTCACAGTGTAAATGGCTACCGAAAATTCTCGATTTTATTTTTTATATTTTTAACTTTATAGTGCTATAGCTTATTGAAAAATTGATCAACACAATTTTTTTGTGATAAATAATATTTTTTAATTATCCCTTTTACATTCGACATACTTTATCTTAATCAGGATTAGTGATGAGCAAAATTACTCTTGTTCTTGCGGTCTTGGCTTGGTCTTGCATTTCTACGAAACCAAGAACAAGACCAAGACTGTAATAATATCAGCAAGACCAACATCAAGACTGTACTCAATTGACAAGAACAAGACCAAGACTTTTTTAGCAAGACCAAGAACAAGAACAAGACTAGACTTGCAAGAACAAGACCAAGACCAAGACTCAAAATGCAAGAATCTTGCAACAACAAGAATAAAACTGCAAGAGTATTGCACTCTTACAAAAAAAAAAAAAAAAAAGATTGTTGTTGGTTAATATTGGTTAAAATCGTTAAGATTATTAATGTCATATTTGACAATATTGAATTTTAGTTTGATTTTTATTGATTACGCGTATTGTTCAAATTGAATATTACCTATGAGCTGATGTTACCGATTAATTTAAAATTTTACAATCATGTTTCAAAATTACTTATCCATTACAGCGACATCAGTTCCTGCCGAGCGACTTTTTTCAAAGGCATCATTAGTTATACGTAAACATAGGAATAGGCTGAATAATAAATCTGACCAGTGGCTTTGATGTATTAACTCTTGGACAGAAACAATGTCCAAAAAATAAGTAGTAATTTAACGTTTATTTTTTTATGATTAATTCTTTGGTAATAGAAGTTGCTATACCATTGTTTGTTTTTTGTAACGTGGATTACCACGATGTAAATGATTAGAAAACCATTGTACACCAATTCCCTCTACATTACTATTATTATTATTACTTGTAATTATTATTATACCTATTATTATTATTTGTTATATCAAAATTTTATATTTTGTGATACTATAATAATAGACCATGTTCAATTTCATTTCTCTTTATTTTAAATATAATACAATATGTATTTATAATATTAATAAAATGAAATTGTACGTAATTTTATTTGTTTATTTTTTTTTAATACCCCAAACTATTCATAAAAAAATCATTCCTATTGTTTATGCTAATATTAAGTTCTAACTTAAAAATTCTATGGTATATAAACTAAATTTGAATTTACAAACTGAAGTAGGTAACTTCGTCATTTAAATCTTTTAAGTAGAAAATTTTTACAAATATAAATAAATGCAAAATTTTGCAAGAGTATTGTGACAAGACTCACAACAAGAACAAGATTTTATGGGCAAGACCAAGAACAAGAACAAGACTAGACTTGCAAGACCAAGACCAAGACCAAGACTGAATTAGCAAAGCAAGACCAAGACTCAGCTATCAAGAACAAGACTTTGACAGTCTTGGTCTTGTTCTTGTTTTGCTCATCACTAATCAGGATATAAATAAAGAAATAGCAGATCATGTAGCTTTTGGAATAATCCACCAATTTTTGAAAATTAAACACTATCTAAAGATTTGCATCGAAGCGTTCTTTATAATAATGTTTTTAATCACGTCACCACTGTGCCGTGACCCCCCTGTGCTGTTTTTTTTTTGAGGTGGAAAAAAAATTTAATGTTTGTTTGATTTTTAAATCATTTATATTATATATATATATATATATATATTAATATTATTATATTATATTTATAATATATATCATTTATTGATATGTCTTCCACTTAACACTCTGAAACAAACATAATATCTGGTCTTTCTGCACTGATATAGAATTTACCTTTCATTCTCATTGGCATCAAGACGCTTTTCTCCACTTACACTTCATCCTGTGTCATACTCCATTATTATTATTTCCATTAATATATAATAATAAAATTATTTGTTTATAATATAATATATTTATATTTGTTTACACGAAATTTGTAATTTGAAGTTTTGTTTTTAGAACTATTAGGAAATCATGAAGACATATCTCGACCACTTTTTTTTTCTGGTATTAATACAAGTGATATAAAAAAACTTAGTCATAGTTCAAGTGATGAAAATGATCAGATGAATAATGATGATGATAAGGATTTTGATGTGACAACTCAGACATATTACAATCCTAAATATCTAGTTGATTATTTACTTTATGAGTAATTTTCATAATTTATTTTCTTTAGAGACGATTTAAGGATAAAATTCACTGTACATAACACACAAATACAATATAATGTAATATGTTTATTTATATAATTGGACAATAATAAATAAAAATTGTAGTTATCAGTCAAAAATATAAATTAATCAGCAAATTCACGTAACTTTTCTCTCTTCGCACTACCCGTTCTAACACTACTCTCCTCATTCCCCCTACTCCTTCTCATTTCTTAGATTCCGCTCCAATGATTCGCTTTATGTGGTTGGCTAATAATGATCCAACTTTCGAATTATTTTAATTAAGTCACGTTTATGTTTTCTTTTTTTGTGTTAATTTATATCCTGTTTCTATGTATATATATATATAAATATATATTTTCTTTTGTTATTTGTTTCTCATAAAAATTTTATTCTTATGATATTTATGATGACTTTTATATATATATTTGGGTTTAGCCTGTATAAAATGTTATAAATAAATAAATATTCGAAAAATGAAACGATCTGTTTATATAAACATTTTTTTAATTTAAAACAAATTAGAAAAACCTTGAAACATATTAAAAGACCACGTACTAAAATTGTTTTATCATGTAACGTTACGATTTAATCTTAATCTAGTTTTTATGTTGCATTTTACTAAATTCTCTATAGATATTTTTCAAAAATGATTTTATTTACTTTTATAACGTGTCTATTTTTTAATATTTCAACAGTAAGTAAATCTGTAAAAGAACGCTATTGCAATTTTTCGAGATACATATTGAATTATTTCATATACTGTGAACGATATTTTTTACGCCTCAATAAAACTGTAGAAAATATCTGTGAAGAAGATTTAAAAAAATATGAAGAAGCAATTCAGTCTCACAGTGATATTATACTATTTATGCTTGCAGAATTACATTGTTTGAAATGTTATTACGTATTTACCTAGAGATTAGATGGCAGTAAACTTATATTTAAATAATGTATCATGATCAGTCAATATAATTAGTAGAAACATAACTAATAAAAATACAAAAGAAAATAAGATACTGCTATTTTTAGAAGGGTATCAGATGATTCATTTTTTTATTTTGAAACAGTTTTTTAAATATATTAATAGTGAGTGTACTGATGAGATGGTGTCACAATTTTTTAGAATATCCAAAAATTATAAATGAACATTGCAATCTAAATATTGAGCAATTAGTTTTGGCAACAAATTTTTTAAAAATACCACGACCCCATTATGCTGCCGTTTTTTTCTTATTTATCACTAATAAGAAAAATTATGTATTTTTTCAAAATTTAAAAAATTTGCTATTTTTGTTTATATCTAAATTTTAAAGAAAAAAATTTATTTTTATCTAGTCTAAGCAGGTAGTTCTCTATTACTTTGAGCACCGAGTTGGGGTGTAACACAATCATATATTTGTTATATATAGTATTTATAGATACTTTATTTTTAAAATTTTTAATTTCTGATTTTATTGAAAATATAAACAAAATATTTTAACATAAAAAATTCAGAATTGAATAATATCTATTCAATATTATTAGTATTTTTAATAAAATATTGAACTTGAATATTGTATATTGAACAAAAAAAAAACACTTGTATAGATTCAGGTTAAAGGTTACCCTAAGGACACCTTACTCGCTCAAAAGTAATAATAAATTTCAAATAAAAAAATTTAAATATTTATTATAATATATCAAACATATTAATATTTATTGAACAAAATATTACAAATTATATATTAAATGTAATGATGATTAACTTATTTCACATCATCTCAATAGTGCAATATAAAACTCACAGAATCGCTAATAAGTTTTGCACAGTGTCTAGTTCTCATAAACAAAGACAGAAGGGCAGAGCCACCAATGTAACTGCATTGGTCGTCGCTCTTTTTTAAGAGCCCCACAAATATGATCCATTGCGCCACTATTTGATAGTCGATTTTGTCATAAAAAAGAAGAAGAAAGGGGGGGAGAGATGTATTTAGTTTTGTTATATAAATTAAATGGATGTGATGAAGAATGTTAAATATATAATTGGCGATGGTTTATCATGAATAAAAAGGAATGAGTATAGGAAAAATATAGAATCAATGAATTATTTAAATTTGTTTAGCTATAAGGTGAAAATAAAATATACGATGTATCAACATGGATCTTTTTGTTAAAATGAAATGACTCCATACGGTTTGTAAAATGTAAAGTGAAGGGAAATTACGCACGGATGACACTAACCCGAATAATATTAATTCTACTATGAAATATACAGTGGTATTTTGGAGGATTTTATGACTCTTAATATTTTTTATCGATTGTAGTGTATATAGGGAACAATGTGTGTTTACGTAAAATGCAACTGTTTGATTGTTGGGCGCCAAGCTTTAATAGCTGAATGATAAATGCAAATAAAACATTTACGTTACACGCGTCCAATTGCGATTAGAATGATGATAAAATAGTTTTTAACAATAATCTTGTCACTAGTGACACGTCACAAACTATTATTTTACTAATAATTTCAACCGCTAGATGTGTTAAGGAAGATTTTCGATATGTCCTTATTAAATAGACACTCCAATTGAAGAATTAAAAAAAATTCTTAATCGGAACAATTCACAAAATATAAAATTAAAAAAAATTAATTATCTTAATAATTCTTAAACATTTAAAAATAAAAAAATAAAAAGATTAAGTAATTTTTTAATTACATTTTATAAGATAGCTAGATAAGAAAAACACCAAGTGTGAAATAGTTTCTAAGTCCGAGAGAGCACAATCGCGAAACAGTCTAGTGCAGAAACGCTTCATGACCAGATTTTTAGAAAAAATAAGGTGAAGAACGAGCTAGAAATCGCTCTTTTATAGACTTGTTTATTAGTAGGGAAATTGATGTTTTAGATTTTAATTGAAAATTGTTTCTTATTGGTTAGCTAATTAAACTTAAAGGGAAACGTGCGCAATCTATTATTCTACTATTTTGAGTTAATGTGACATACGGGTATTGGTGATTTATATCTATCATCTCTCATAATAATGTGTTTTATTAAAAAAATCATCATTATAAAAATATAAATAAAATAAAATTATAAGTGCTAAATATCTATTACAAATTAGCCATATTTTTAAATAATAATTTGAGCTATTTATAATGTATAAACAGTACAAGTTTTGAAAAATATATAAGAGCTATTAGAACTTCGCCAAAGTTACTAATGAGATAAAAAATGCGTGAGCTAAAATATATTTCTGAAACTAGATTATAATTTGACAATGTAATGACAAAACAACTACCAATAAAATGTATGTCGATTAGCCTTGATCACTTTGTAATTTGTTGTTTTATTGGCAATCAATACAATATTTCAAAGTATGTTGCCACTGTTACCACTGTGCCGCGACCACCTATACTGAGTATTATTTATAATGTAGTATAAGTATATATAGTTCATTTTAAACATTATAAAATAAAATTACAATTTATATAAAACAAATTTAAATATCAAAATCTAAAATTATCTAATTATATAAATATTGTGTACATTAAAACTAATTGGAAACACCTTGATATATTTTAAAAGCCCACGAAATAAATGCCAATTATCGAGTAGCGTTAAGATATAATCTGAATAAATTGTAAATTTTGTATTTCATTATATTTGTCGTAATATGCTCAATGCTTTGCATTACGCATCTTACAATTATTAATAAAAATGTATAATCTGTATTTTAAATAACTTGTAAACAAACAAATGATTTATCTGTAATAACAAATACGATGTGTCAACACAATTTCTTATTATTTATTTATATATGTTATCTCAATATAATTATCATGTAATGTATAATAAATACAATAAACTAAAAAGATCACTAAAAGCGCTGACAACAATATCCCTGGATTGGGGGTACTATCATTTTACTATAAAAAGCACTGAAATCCTTTCAGACTAGAGAGACAGTCAGGGAGAGACTCTAGGNGCACTGAAATCCTTTCAGACTAGAGAGAGAGTCAGGGAGAGACTCTAGAGAGACTCCAAGGAGTGATAGCGAGCGAGAGAGTTCGTTTTCTCCGAATTGAAATAAGAATAAAAAGAAACAATTATCAGTCACAGCCCTGTGTTGTTGTCGGCTGACTTTTACGCGTTTTATTTATATATGAAAAGAACTTGTTTTAATTATTTATCTTTTGAAGAAGTGCGAATTAAATACTTTTAAACATATATAAACATATCGAGATATTTATCAAATCATTTTACAGCAATTTGCAAGAATAAAAGAAGTAAGTAATTTTATGTTATCCCAATTATTTAAAGTTAATAAATTTGAGTAAAGGATGACAAAGCAATAGATCTTAAATATANTAATAAATTTGAGTAAAGGATGACAAAGCAATAGATCATTTATTAAATTAATATCTTAAAGTGTCAATTTTGACTGGTTGGTTAAAGAAGTTATACATAATCACGTTATATGGTATTCGTGGACTGGCTCTGCCGTCTCGTTGCCGAGGTATTCGTGAACTGGCTTCGCCGTTTCGTTGCCTCTTAGTTAGAACATTAGAAACTAACCAGACAAAAGTTTATTCTACCTCTATAAGAGGAACTTAATATATATTTTTATATCTACTTGTCTTTGTCGTTCTAAACCCTCGAACCATACGACCCCGATAGAACCACAACATCAGGTTCTCACTATACCCATCGCTCATTTTCATCATTTATATTTTACCAACACTGCTTTATATATTTTTGAATTATAACATATTTCTATACCAATTTTTTAAAAAATGATTTTCTTTAGTATTATATCATGTCTATTTTTTAACTTGTCAACAGTAAGTACATCCGTCAAAGAACGTCATTGTAATTTTCAGACGTAAAAAATGATTACTTAGATCTTCTCCGTTTTACTCCATTAAATATACAATGTGCAGACGGTAGTGATATTACTTTATCAGATGTATTGCGATTCATAAAATTCAATTTTAATCATCGTCATGTAGAATCATTTCAAAAACTAGTTAGATTATCTACTTTCTATCCTGTTTACGTGTTGTTAGGTAAATACATAAACTTCATTAATAATCTCATGAACTCTAATTTAAATGCAAATTATTATAATTATTATATTCACCAATATAATATAAAATTAGCCGAGACAATAATAGAATATCTAATTAATATAAAGGATCTAAATATTTTAAATAGTACAACTACTAATTTAGTCAAAATTTGTGTAAATAGATTAAAGACACTTTCAATAAAACTTTATAATTGGCCAATTAAAAATACAATTTTTATGGGCAATATTATTTATTCAATAAATAATTTGTTGTTTGATAAACGTATAAAGTATGATATGGAATCGAATATTACAATAACACACGAAAATATTTATGATAACTACAAA